TTGCCCGTAGCTACACTACCCTCCTCTGTCCAGCGGTTCCCTCGGATTCTCTTACAGGCCTGCACACCCCTTCGTTCTCCAGGAAACCTAGTTCGTGTCGGCTGTCTTCAAGACCTCGGCGTCACCACTACGTTCTCTGGTCACGAGCGGTACGCTGTCTGTACCGAGGCCGCCTCAGGTGCCCTCTTGCGACGTTCCCCTGGGACCTGGTGTTTGGCTAGTTTACGCTGGACACTGCTTCCCTCTTGGTGGGCACGTCCTCCCCGGGTCCTGCGTCTACCCAGGTCGCTGTGGCTTGCTCGTGTCGGTCGCTTCTGTGGCACCACCGCCTAGGTCACCCTGCACTCCTGCATCTGCGTCACATGTCTCAGCACGGTCTCATCCTAGGTCTCCCTGCCCTCCCTCCCTCGCCTGCGCCGCCGTGCACTCCCTGCGTCGAGAGCCGGCTGTGCCATGCCCCTCATTCCTCCTCACTTCGCCCTACCATCGCGCCACTCAAGACCCTACACCTGGACGTCTGGGGCCCAGCCCCCGTCCCTGGGCCGCGTCGAGAGCGCTACTTTCTCGTGCTATACCACGGTGTTTCCCCTGGAGCGGAAGGCCGACGTGCCTGACATTCTTATCCCGTGGGTCATCGCTACGTGCCTCCACTACGGTCTCCCTATGCTGTGTCTCCACTCCGACCGCGGCGGCGAGTTTGCCTACGGTCGGCTTGAATAGTTCTGTCGTGCGGACGGCATCACCCAATCGTACACCCTACCGGATCCCCCGCAGCAGAATGGGGTCACTGAACGACGCATCGGCTTGGTCATAGAGGTGACTTGTACCTCAATGATCCATGGTGGTGCACCCCATTTTCTGTGGCCGTTCGTCGTTCGCTACGCCGCTCACCAGCTTAACCTGTGGGCGCACCTTCAGCGGCCGTAGGTTTCGCCGACCCTTCTTCGGACCGGTTTCCCTAGTGACGCGTCCGCATTCCACATTTGGGGCTGCCTCGCTCACGTCCGTGCCTCGGGCACGGATAAGCTCACTACCCGCATTGTTCCCTGTATCTTCCTTGGTTTCCCCCTTGACTCGTCTGACTGGCACTTTTACCACCCGCCGTCTCATCACTTCTTTCACTTCCGTGACGTCAATTTCGACGAGTCTGTCTCATTTTACCACTGCTTTTCCCACCGAGGTGTCCCGGTTTCCCCTCCCCTATTTTTTGCTCCCCACTCCCCTGGTAGCCCCTGTTCCCTCTCTCCCCACCCTCCTCCGTCTGGTGTGTCTCACGTCACTCCCCTCCCGTCGGTTGTCCCGGTCGAGGAGTCGACTGATTATAGTGGCCCCGCGGCGTAGCTCTTGCCGACTGTTTCTCCCCCGGTGTCTCCTCCTCCGCCGTCGCAGCAGCTGCCGCCGTCGCCGCCGCAGCAGCTGGCGCAGGCGTCGTCGCAGCCGCAGTAGCAGCTGCCGCCGCCGCCGCCACCGCAGCAGCAACCGTCCGTGTACTCTGGGGGTGCGGACGTTGAGGAGCGTGCTATTCCTGGGGTTCTTGTCGTGGCTTGTCCCAGTGGTCCTGGGGGTGGCACCGGTGCTGGAGAGGGTTCTCGTTCTGGGGGTGCTGGAGTGGAGCGTTCCGGAGGTAGCCGTGGTGCAAATGGAGGTTCTAGTGTCGGCGTGGAACCACAGCAGCAGTCGCCGCCGGTGTCCGCCCTTTGCCTGCTCGGTCTTCCCTACCCTGACCACTCGCCCACGCCTTCCTTGCCGCCGCCTTCTCAGCATGTGTACGGCCCTGTGTTTCCTCCACTGGACTCGTCCCCTGCTTGTTTTCCCCCTCATTCTCCTCCTTTGACTCCTCCTGTGACTCCTCCTGTGTCTCTTGACCCGACGCCTCCGTCCCACTTCTGGTCTCGCCGTCTCACTCGTGCTCATCCTGTCTCTCCTGTCCAGTGCTCTCACCCCATATTACTTCGTTCCTACGCATCTCGTCCTCCCCTCCTTCCCTTGCCTCCTCCGTCATCACTCGTTGTCGCTCCGCCTCCTCTGTCTGACTACCTTCTTGCCACTCGTCCTCTTGTTCCTCGGGGCCTTGCCTCCCTCGTTACCGACCCATCTGTTCCTGTCTCGAGTCCTGACGCTCTTGTCGCTACTGTCGCTGACTTCGCCTCTACCCGCTGCCTTGACTACGCCACAGCTCTGGTCTCTGGCCCTGCCTGCCCTCCGTCCATTGGGGGTGCTCCTACCATTGGTGGTGACGTCCTAGAGGACAGGCAGTACGAGCTTGCTTTCCTCTCTGAGGCCGCTCCCCATCTCTATTCCATGCTGCTAGTCCCTGAGGGTGACCCAGACGCATTTGACATCCCGACCCCTCGCACATATGCTAAGGCGACCTCTGGACCTAGGTCCCTCAGTGGATAACTTCCGTGGAGCAGAAGATGGCATCTTGGAGACCCACCGGCACCTACGTCGATGCAGTTCCCCCCACTTGGGGTGAACTTAGTCGATGTCCGGTGGCTCTTCAAGGTGAAGCCCCTCCCTGGAGAGCCGCCTGTGTTCAAGGCGCGCTACGTGGCTAGAGGCTTAGGTCAGTGCGAGGGTGTGGACTTTTTTCAGACCTTCGCCCCGACCCCAAGATGATTACTCTTCGGGCGCTGCTACACGTAGCAGCACATCGTGACTACGAGCTACACTCCTTCGACTTCTCCACAATTTTCCTTCTGGGCAGCCTACACGAGCAGGTCTACCTGCGCCGTCTACAGGGCTTCATCGGTACCTTCCCTCCTGGGACCTAGTGGCTCCTCCAATGCCCGGTCTACGGCCTGCGACAGGCGCCTTGTGAGTGGCACGATACGCTGCTTCTACGCTAGCTGGTCTGTAGTTTTTCCCGTCGTCTGCAAACCCCTCGCTCTTCGTTCATGCTGGCCAGACCCCTTTCTACATCCATGTCTACGTAGACGACCTGGTCTTCACTAATGCAGACAAGAACGCACTGGTCTCCGTGAAGGCTGGACTGCTGAGGAGACACACCTGCACTGACCTAGGAGAGCTGCACCGCTACCATGGCCTGCAGATCTCCAGGGACAGAGCAGCGCGCATCATCTCTCTTACACAGTCACATTTGGTGCGCCAGGTCCTTCAGAGGTTCGGTCTTCAGTTCTCCTTTGCACAGCCCATGCATCTGCCAGTAGACCACATGCCCTTTGCTCCAGTTTTTAAGGAGTCTGTAGAGCCTAGTGGTCCTTACGCAGAGCTGGTGAGTTGCCTCATGTACCAGATGACTTGCACTCGTCTAGATCTCGCATACCCTCTCAACATCCTAGCTTGTTTTGTGGCCACAGGCAGACACCGACCACACCACTGGTCAGTGGCTAAGAGGGTTTTGCATTATCTAGCAAGTACATCAGGTATGGGGCTTGTGCTAGGAGGACGTAGACCAGTGGTCCTTACCGAGCACACAAACGCGTCGTGGGCAGATGACGCTGAGACACTCTGGTCCTCTTAGGGCTACTGCTTTAGCCTTGGTTCAGGTGCCATCCCGTGGAGGTCCACCCGCTCATCGTCTGTTGCCTAGTCTATCTGTGAGGCCGAGATCTATGCCGGTGCCATGGCGGCACAGGAGATCCGCTGGCTGACCTTTTTGCTCACCGACTTAGGTGAGCGGCCTAGCTCTGCGCCGGTCCTATACGCTAACAACAGGGCCATGATCCTCCGATGTTAGGAGCCTCGACTTGAGGGCAGAGCGAAGCACATCCAGCTGCGGTACTTCCTCCTGCGCGAGCTACAGCAGCATCGCCAGGCCCGCGTAGTACACTTGGCCTACAATGCCAACACAGCTGATATATTTACTAAGGCGCTTGCGCCTAAAGATCATTAGCGACACTGTTTGCAGCTTGGTCTGGTTCCTATAGCTTCTCACTGCTAGGACCCTGATTGTGTACTCCTCGTACATATATTCCTTCTTGACTGGCCTTGTGGCTTCTCTTCCAGTGGCCGGACTAGTAGTGCCGCCCTGGTTTGCTGTTGTCGAGTTTGTACTCTTGCTGACTGGTTTTTGGACCCTTGTCTCAGAGGTTGGAGTAGTAGTGCCGCCATGAGTTGCTTGTCTCTTGCCTGGCACTGCCCCTTGTCCAGTCTACAGGGTGCGTCAAACATATTTGTGTATGTTACAATAGTTTAGATAGGAGCATGCCTTAGTGAGTACAACAATTTAGGTCAAAACCACCATGTACCCTGTTTTCTAGTCATTCTGCTACTCTGAGACTGATACCATATCATAAAGTCACCAATCCTAACCATTGGGACAAGAAGGGATGCCCTCAAAAGGGTTAGGCTCCATATATCCTTATTCCCAAGGGAAAGCCTCCCTAGAACCCTCCCTAGAGAGAGATGAGGCTCGACAGGGCTATCCCAATGCCACAAGAATAGATTTGTTCGAATTTTATCATTTCAGTTGCGTAGTCAGTATACAGTGGATTGATGTGATAAGCTATATGCAATACCTATGGAATTGGACTTCTTTGTAGTATCGTACGTAAATGTAACATCTTCAACATACTAGTATGAATTCTCATTGATGTGATTCTAATTCTACCAAGTAGGAATCGGTGGCTTTGTCTCCAATTATTCATGGCAGTTACGTTCCAACCGTTAATGTCTAGCTTGTGGTCAAATACCTCATTTATGCGATTGATACATAGTGAACAATGCCTACATTAATCACAAGCACACTCTGTCTTTGGGATGGTGATGCTTCAAGTAATATTGATGGTTTCTATACATTAAAGTGATCCATTTGTCATAGTCTGATCAATTCTTATGGAATAGAGAATGAGTATGGCTATCTTCATACGGACCCTGAGCTGTTCCAACGGTGTTTCCTTAGAGGGGACGATGTGGCTTGGGGTCTCTGCGCCTTGTCGGCGAGGGTTGGGCGAACGGCTGCGTTTTCGCTGAATAGGGCGAAAGCCATGATATCCTGGCGACTGGCGACAGACAGCACTGTGACTGCCACGACAACCCCAAGGCTCATCCCTCCTGGACTGCAGTTAGATGCTTGATAGGCCGTCCATTGCACCTTAGATGCCTAGTAGGTCAAGTCTCTGACCCTTAGCACCTGAATACGTGAATTCGGAGCTCCTGAGGTCCTGCGTAGTTTTCGCAAAGATTTCTGTCGACGATTTCGTCGAATTCATTTGCTGGTTCGCTCGCATCTGACCCTTCCATGCATCGATCCGCGGGCCCTTTTCATCCTGCCTGCACTTATGCGTTGGAGTCTTGAACCCCTCCGTCGAGTCCTATTCATCGCGCTGCGGTTGTGCCTCGTGTGTCGTGAGTGAACCCGCGTCTCGCGGTGGACGTTAAGCCGGCCATTCATGGAGCCGTAGAGCCACACGGGTCGCCGGTGCTGCTGATGCGGCTGTGGGTTGAATAAGCTGGCGGCGTGACGTCAGGCAGGGACTTCGAAGCCAGCGGTTTGCGTCGCTGCGTGGCGCGCGAGCATGGCGTCGTCGCGGCTGCCGCCGCACGCCCCGCTGCTGTCAAGAGGCGCGGTGCTGGAGTCGCGGTTCGAGGTGGAGAAGAAGATCGGCGAAGGCACCTTCAGTATCCTCCGCGCGTCCCTCCGACCCCTTTCCCCCCCCCACTCCTCTCTTCCCTCCCTTTCCATCCAGTGGTCGCCCTTACCTCTTTCTCTCTGTCCCCGCTCTTTTGCCCACCTCCTTGAACGGATCGCTTTTTAAGAGTCATTGAAGTCGCTCCTTTTAAGCCATTTCCGCCTGGCATGTCATGTGTGTCTCGCTGCTCTCTCCCTGGGCGTCCAGCGCTGCCCATTCCCTCCCCTGCTCCGTCGCACCCTTCCACGCTCGTTCCTTCTCACCCATTCGCCATCTGCCCTTCCACTCTTTCACATTCCTTGTCGCGAATCCGCGCCGTCTCGCCCGCTCCGCCTCTCAGCCCGTATCTCACCCTCCGCAACACCTTATGCTAGCCTTCCTTGACCAGCTGCGCGCACTCCAATCTTTCCAGGCGAGATCTACCGCGCGCGGGACACGGTGAGCGGGCGCCACGTGGCAGTGAAGGTGGAGAAGGAGGAGTCTGTGCTCAAGTGGGAGGTGTGGGTGCTGAAGCGACTGCAAGGTAATGCCTCCCCCTATTGCACCCAGATGGTTATTCCTAGGAGCGCAGAACTTCTGCCGCATCTGCTTGTGCGTCGCTCCCCACTCACCATCTTGCCTGCTCATCACCATCTTGCCTGCTCATCACCATCTTGCCTGCTCATCACCATCTTGCCTGCTCATCACCATCTTGCCTGCTCATCACCTCCCGCACTCGTCCCTCCCTCCTCCCCTCCCCACCTCCCCACCTCCCCCAACCCCGTCTCCCCCCCCCCAGGGTGCCGCGCGGTGTGTGGGTTCGTGCACGCGGGGCAGGTGGACGGGCGCGCGTACGTGGCGATGGAGCTGCTGGGCCCCAGCCTGTCCGACGTGCGTCGCAAGCTCCCCCACGGCCGCTTCCCCGTCGCCACGCTCACCCGCCTCGCCCTGCAGGTCAGTGCGCCTGGGCGCTTGGGCCAGTGTGCTGGGAGGGCTGGACGGCACTCTGGCTCACGGGGGACGGGGAAGGGAAGCTGTGGCGGCCCACATGCAAGCTGGATGCAGATTCCAATGAGGTCGTATGGTGGTGCCACATTGAGCTGCTTCTGGCCCGGGGGTCCACTGCCGCGCGTGCACCAGTTCACGCGCATCTCATTCCCCCCTCCCCTCTTGTGCGCTGCACCAGATGCTACGCGCGCTGAGGGCCATGCACGACGAGGGCTTTCTGCACCGCGACGTCAAGCCCGTCAGTGCCCCCACCCCACCCCACCCCACCCCTCCTCGCCCTCCCTCCCTCCCCGCCGTGCTGCACGTGCTGCTCCCTCCATCATTCCCTCGCCTACTCTTTCCTCCCTGCACACGTGCTTACCTTGCCCGTCCTTCACCTGCATACGCTTGTTGTGCGTGCATGTTCAATCCTGTCAACAATCCTCCATGCCCATCCCCGCGCCCCGTGTCCCAACGCCCCCTTCCACCGGCCCGGCAGTCCAACTTCGCGATGGGCGTGGGCGAGCGACAGCAGCAGTGCTTCGTGATCGACTTTGGCATCTGCAAGCGCTTCCGCTCCTCCTCTGGCGACCTGCAGCCCGCACGCCAGGTGGCGCAGTTCAGAGGGTCCACGGCCTATGCGTCCGCACACTCGCACCTGCTCATGGTATGCATCCGTGCACTCGCACCTGCTCATGGTATGCCTTGGCGCCATCACTGCATGGTCATGCATTTCCTCATGCGGGTTCTCTCCTTGTATGCATGCCACGCCACACCTCTCTTGACCCGTATCTGCTCCATCTCCACGCATCACCCCCTCCGCTCTCCGCGCTCCGCCGTCCGTCCTGTGGTGTGTGGTGTGGTGGCAGGACCTGGGGCGGCGGGACGACCTGTGGTCGCTGTTCTACGTGCTCGTGGAGTTTCTCGAGGGCGAGCTGCCCTGGCGCCACGTCACCGAGAAGGTGAGCTGTGCGCCATGCTGGATGATGTAGGCTTTGCGATTTGGCTCAATCCCCCTTGCTGAGGCGAGCATGAGCCGTGCAAGTTCGGCCCGTGCCTTGTCGACGCATGATTGCGTTCCTTAACGGTTGCCCGCGTCATGCATGCATGCATGTGCGTGCGTGTGCCTATGGCGGGGCGGGGTGAGCAGGAGCGGGTGAAGGAGATGAAGCTGCATTTTTTTTACCACCCGGACCAGATGACCAAGTCCGTGCCCTTCCCACACGAGCTCTCCGTGAGTCCGCCTTCCCCTCATCTCATCCCGTGCCACAGCTTTCTGCCGCCCCCTCTTTCACTCCCTGCATCGTGACCCTGCCGCCCCCCTTGCATCACCTCAGCCTTCATCTCAACCACCTAATATGTCCTAGGTCTTCTCTCCCTGCGCTCTTGTGCCCCTCCTCCCCCTTCCCCCCCCCCCCCAGGCGTTTGCGGAGCACCTGCAGGTGCTGGAGTACGGGGACAAGCCCGACTACGCGTACCTGCAGCACCTGCTCACCGCGTGGAACGCACGCTGCGGAGAGGGCCACCTCCACCAGGTCAGGCACACCGCACGCAGGGTGGGGTCGCGCGCCCGGGCTTGCTTCTGCCCATGGCGCATGCATGCATGCTCCTGTGCCCATATCTGGAGTCGCTCCGCGGAAACTTCCAATCCTTTCGGTTGCTGACCTGCAATTCGTGTGCCTTGCTTGGTGTGGCAGGACGGCGAGGGTGCTGCCGACGACGCCCACACGGCGCTGCCGCTCCCGCCAGTGCCCACTGCCAACGGACACACCCACTCACCCTCACTCCATGATGCTGCTGCTGCTGCCCCTCCCATGTCTCAACGTGCCACAAGCGCTCCTGCCTCTCGTGCCCTTGGCAATGGAGTCCACGGCACGCCGCACACGTCCCCCCTCACCTCTCCTGCCGTGCCGCCCGCACTGCCCTCTCCACCACCACCTGCCATCGCTGCTCCACCCCTTGAGCTCGCTGGGACGGCTGTGCTGCCAGTGCCGACACTCACAGTAGAAGCGACAGTAGCAGCAGCAGTGGCAGGAGTAAACATTGCTGCACCAGTTGGCACCAGCCCACCCATGCCCGTGTCCTCCTCTGCCCCGCTCGCCTCCACCCCTGCCTGTGCCCCCACTGCATCAGCCCCGCCCAGCCCTAGCGTTCACAGCCCTGCCACCCACACGCCTGCCGTGCAAAGGGCGGCGAGCGCTGCCGTTTGTCCCCCTGCTGCTGCCGCTGCATCCCATGGTGCTGCACTGGCCACAGTGCCTGGCGTGGCCGCTGCTGACGCGGCACCGCTTCCACTGGAGGGCGCAGCGGCTGTGGGTATGGCGCATGGGCGTGAGCCGTGCGCTGACGCCCTTGAGGCCGGCTCAAGCCCAGACGTGGGGGTGCAGGACAAGGTGCGAGGGTGCAGAGCGGAGGAGGGCGGGATGCAGGGCGGTGGGAGGAGCCGGGGAATGGGTGGGGACGGCCGTGGAGCGAGGGGGCAGAGCACTTGCAATGGTGGCAGTGATGGCGGCAGCAGCAGCACGACGTCGAGTGTGAGCCACAGCGACAGCAGCGGCAGCAGCTCCATCAGCAGCAGCGAGGGCAGCAGCGGCAGTGAGGGGGAAGGTAGCAGGGGACGAAGGAGGGAGAGGGAAGGGGGCTTAGTGGGGGTGAGGGATAGTGATGTCCGTGTTGCAGGAAAGGGAAGAGGGTATGACAAGTGCGCTCTTAAGTACCAGCCGCCACAAGGGAGGGGCATGAGGCAGCATGGTAGCTGTGGTGCGCAGCAGAGGGGAAGAGGGAGGGCGAGCGCGGAGGACGCATGTGCAGGCGCGCGGCTCAGGGAGAAGGAAGACGCCAAGGAGGGGCAGCCTTGCTTGGGGGGCGGTGGGGAGGGCGTGACAGGGGGACAGGGCAGCGAGAGGGGCACTGCTGGTGCTGCCATGGCTGCCGTGGCTGCCGTGGGTCGTGATGACTCAAGTGGCAGACGCATGGCAGGGGAGACGAGGAGCGTGCAGGGGAATGGCCACGCGCCTCACACTCACCATGCTCCTTGTGGCAGCAGCAGCAGCAGTAGTGGGAGTGACACCCCGAGTAGTGACAGCAGCAGCACGTGCAGCAGCAGCAGCAGCAGTGGCAGCAGCAGTGCGAGCGATGGGGAGGCGAGTGGCGAGTCTAGGAGCGATGAGAGTGGCGCTAGCAGCAGCGAGGACGACCCGTCCTGGGGCAGCAGAGGGAGAGGCAGGGGCAGGGCCGGGCGGACCAGAAGGCAACGGCAAGGGGCAGGGGTGGAGGTGCAGGGCAGGCAAAGCAAGAAGAGCGGGGCAGGGGGCAGGAGGAACCGGCCTAGGAGGAGCAGAGGGGGCGGAGGGAAGGAGGCGGGTGGTGGCGCAGCAGACCACGAGGTGAGGGCTGAGTGGGTGAACGGGGCGATCCCTGTGGTGCTCGCTCTGGCAGCTGCGCCTCTGACGGGTGCTGGGCCCCATGGGCGGCGAGAGGGCTGTGGTGTGGTGGCAGAGGTGGGGGGGGCGAGGAGAGGCGGCAGTGAGGGCAGGGATGGGCGCGGTGCAGTGAGGGAAGAGGAAGAGAGGCGGAGCGTGGGACAGGCGCACGTGTTGCATGAGGGACGTGGAGGGAGAGGAGACGAGGACAGGAGGGGAAGCGGGCAGGGGGCTGGCAGAGAGAGCAAGGAGGGTGAGGTAGGGAAGCACGGGTGGAGGGAGAAGGGGGTGAGCGCGAGTGCAAGTAGGAATGGGTACGTGGACGTGGCAGCGAGAGGGCAAGCAGATAGGCATGGACAAGCGAATGGGGTGAGGCAGATGGCCAGCAGCAACGGTGGCAGGCACACAGGGTGCAGGGGCGGAGGGGAAGGCAGGGCGCAGGAAGAGAGGGTGGAAGACGGAAGGCAGCAGGTGAAAGGCAGTGAAGGCGAGAGGAGCAGGGGTGGTGGCAAATATGTGGAGAGGGCAAGTGAAGGAAGGGAAAGAGAGACGGAGGGAACGCGTGATAGAGACGATAACTGGGCGCACGGCAAGGAGAGGCGGTGGCACAGGGAAAGGGAGAGGCACGGGAGCTGGAAGAGGGAGGAGCGCGAGAGGGAGAAGGGCGGGAAAGGTAGAGAGTGGGAGAGAGAGAAGGAAGGCAGATGGTCAAAGGAGGGGGAGCGGGCGATAGAGGAGAGGCGGGTGAGAGCGGCTGAGGTAGGGTATGGGAAGGCGCATGTGAGAGGCGTTGAGGCGGTGAGGGCAGCAGATGATGGTGCATGCAAGACTGCTGGTAGCAGGGGGGCGGCGGACGAGCAGCACGAGACGGAGAAGGGGAAGGAGAGGGAGAAGGAGAATGAGAAGGAGCAGGAGGGCCGAGATGTGGTGAGGGAAAAGGATTTGGAAAGGGGGCAGAAGAACAAGGGGGGAGAGAGGGAGGTTTTGAGGGAGAAGAAACCGAAGGAGTGCGTGACTGAGAATGGAAGGAGGATTGAGAAGGGGAGAGAGCGGGAGCGAGAGCGAGAGAATGAGAGAGAAAGAGGGTGGGAGAGTGAGAAAGGGAAGGCACGGGGGAGGGAGAGGGACAGAGGGAGGGAGAGGGAGAGGGAGAGGGAGCAGGAGAGGGAGCGGGAGAGGTTGAAAGGGGAGAGAAGCCTGGATTGGGACAGTAAAAGGCAAGGTGAGAAGGTGAGGGGCAGTACTGCTGTGGGGGTGGTTGACGGGCGCGATGAGAAGCAAGGCTCGGCAGAAAGGCGGAGGGATGGCAGGGCAGAGAGTGCGGCTGGGTGGGGTGAGGCGAGGGAGAGACAGAAGGAGACAAATTGGGGGGACAGAAAGGTGGACAGAGAGGAGAGGGGGCGGGACAGGGACAGGGAAAGAGAGTGGGAGCGGGATAAAGAGAGAATGAGGAACAGGCGGGCAGACAGGGAGGGAAGGGAGAGGGAGCAAGGGAAGGTACGGGAAAGGGAGCGCGGGTTGCAAGCGGTGGAGAGCGGCGGGGCAGTGGGGAGGCGCGATGATGGTGGCAGTGCCATGCGGAGTAGGCATGAGGCAGCTGATGCGGCGCGGGACAGGCGGGATGGCCCAGGGGACAGGGACCGAGACAAGGAGCGCGTTAGGGGGAGGAGCAGGGAGGGGAGCGAGAGGGGAAATGGGAGGGCAGGGGAGAAGGAGAGGGACAGGGAGAAGGAGAAGGAGGAGAGGGAGGCAGGGAAGGAGAAGGGCCCAAGTGAGGCCACTCGCAGCGGCAACCATAATGTGCAGGAGCCCCAGCAGCACCCTCTCCCTCACACTCACTCTCACTCGCACTCCCGCTCGCATCCTCGCTCCGCGTCCCTGCCCCGTCACCATGAAGCCACGCCCAGGTCAACCGTTCCACCCTCACCTGCAGCTGCCGCTGCCGCCTCGCCTCACTCAATCGATGAGCAAAAGCCTGACTTCACACCTGCTCCTGCTCCTGCTGCTTCTGCTGCCGCAGGCGGCAGCGGTAGTGGCAGCTTGAGTGGTGGCGAGGGCAGGGGCAGGAGGCTGCGCTTGTGTGTGGACTCGCTGCGATACGGCTGCTGCAAGCACGGGTCCTCCTGCTCCAAAGACCACCCCAAGAGGTGCGCCCTTGCAGCCTGCAAGCCCTCTGCACCTCACATTGTGCTGTTGCTCCATGCAAGCTGCTCAACCCCTCGCCTCACCCCCTCCTCTCCCCCCCTATCCCCCCCACCCTACTCCCCTCCCCCCCTCTCCCCCAGGCGCAGCAGGGACCGCGCCACGTCCGTGTGTCTGGACCACATGGCCGGCACATGCCCCTGGCCTGCCGCTCACTGCGTGCGCCATCACCTCTCCATCGCCGAGGTCAGCAGAGCCCCATCTGCCATAAACTCGCCTCTCTTGCTGCCCCGCACTATTCCTCGCCTCGCTCCCTCTCTTTCCCTTCCCAAATCCCTCCCCCCTCTTCCCACCCAACTTCCCCCCTGCGCCCGCTGGCAGGAGGAGCACTTTTACCGCCGCGGCGTGCTGCCGCCCGATGCCATGCAGCCCCACTCCTGGGTGCTGCAGCGCCGCCACCAGCAAGCCGCCCGCCGCCGCCCGCCCCGCCTCGCTGCCGCCCAGACAAGTGGTGAAAACGGCCTGTCTTGGCACGATGGGGATGAGCCGCACCCCGCCTCCACCTCGTCCCAGCACGGCAGGGACAGCCCCTGGCAGCACCCGCAGCAGCAGGGGTCGCCAGGTGGGGGAGGCGCAGGGCTGCTGGCGACACCAGTGGGGCTGCTGGCCTCCCCATCGCCCTCCCCATCCCTGCTCGGCGCCGCCCCTGCTGGCATCCCCACCGCACTGCACCACTCTTTGCTCCTCCTCCCACCCCCTGCTGCCTCCTCTGCCTCACCCACCACCCCCAGCACAGCAGCAGCAGCAGCAGCGAGTTGGGCGAGGTGCGACGTGAGCAGAGCTGCCACAGACCCTGCTGCTCCACGTCTTGCTGCTGCCGCCACAGCAGGGGCGGCAGCTGTGCCTTGCGCTGTTGCGCTGCTGCCTGCAGGAGTGGGAACGGACGGCAGCAGGGAGAGGGTGGCCGGTGGGGGGCTGAGGGGGAAGGCAGGGAGGGCGGAGAGGCAGGGCGGCCTAGGGTGAAGGTGAAGGTGACGATCAACGAGTGGGGCGTGGTGATTCCCCCACACGCGTTGCACCTGGGGCTCAACAAACGGCGCAAGGTGGACGGCACAGGGCCAGGCTCGGGTGGACAGGGCTTGCCACTTGCCGGTGCCGCAGCAGCAGCAGAAGCAGCAGCAGCACCAAGAGGAGCAGTGGCAGCAGCAGGGGGCGTTGGGCCATTCTCTTTGCTGGAGCGGCTCCTGCAGCCGTGTATGGCAGTAGGAGTAGTGGCAGTGCAGGTGGTGCGAGAATCAGGTGCAGACAGCTCGACGCAGATGCGGACAGACACAGACACTGACCCCTGCACCCGCCCCTCTCACCGCAGTGGGCGGACATGCCACGCCCGCCCCTGCCCACGCCCCTCTCACGCGCCCACCACCTCACTGCCTGGTGGCTACCCCCTGCTGCCCCCCTCCCCACGCCTGCTGCCGCCCCCTTCGCTGTCGCCACCTCTCCTGCTGCTGCTGCCAGGGGGGCGGGCTGTGCTGTGAGCGTGCAGTGTGACATTCCGCCCTCGCTCTTGCCCACCTCACAGGGGGGCAACGCACACGATAATAAAGAGGGGGGCACTGTGCCTGGTGATGTACCCCCTGTCAGTCTCTCCTGCTCTCCACAGGGGCAGCAGCAGCAGAGGCGGGATGAGCAGGGTAGCGAGGGGGGCAGGAGCCCCTGTGACCAGTCGTTGCAGTGGCGTGTGCTGCACGCATGCAGCGAGCAGCTGGCCCTGCTCATGCGGCAGTGGCGCGGCACACAGACAGGTGTACCCGTGATCACACGTGCCCATGCAGGCAGCAGTGGCAGTGGCAGTGGCAGTGGCAGTGGCAGCGGTAGAGGGAGCGATGATGGGGTTGCAGGGATGGAGACAGCGAGAGGGGATGGCAGCAGGAGCGAGCATGGCAGTGAGAGCAGCGAGGGGGCGAGTGGCAGCAGGGATCTGGGTGCTTGCCCCCTCTTGGAAGAGGCAGGCGCGGTGGACGTCAGGGGGGAGGAGGGAGAGGATGGGGGGGAGGAAGGGGAGGGGCGTGCAGCGGCCCCATCGGCATCAGTGGGGAAGCGGAAGCCGGCAGCGAATGTGTGGCCTGATGGGCAGGGGGGGCGTGGAGAGGTGTGCAAGCCGCTCGTGCTGCTGCCCGGACAGCCTGCTCCCTTGATCCATGTGGGCGAGGGGAGGGATGGAGGGAGCAGGGGCACTCAGCTGCGAGATGATGGAGAGATGAGAGGGGGGGATGGTGGCGGTGGGGGAGGGGGGGTGAAGGGGGCGAAGCAGAGGGGGGAGCAGCAAGAGCAGGTGGTGGATGGACAGCAGCAGCAGGCCGCTGCAGTGACAGGGGCTCACGATGCTGCAGTGCCTGCTGCTGCTGCTGCTGCTGCTGCTGCTGCTGCGGCGGCGGCTGCTGCTGCTGCGGCTGCCCCCGGCAGCACGGTTCGGCCACCGTCCGCCTCCCTGCCGCTGCACGGCCTGGCCATCCCACCATTCCCCTCGCCCAAGAGGGAGCGCACCCTGCGCACCGTGCCCAGGCGCCTCCTCGCCTTCCCCCTCCTCGCCCTCGCTGCCCCCCCCGCCCTCTCCGCTGCCCCCATCGCCCCCTCCACTCCGCGCACCCCGCGCTCCACTGCGCCCCTCCCCGCCCCCCACATGCCCCCTCCAGCGGGCAAACGGGCAGGCGGGAGCAATGGGGAGCATGGGGAGAAGGGTAGTGGAGGGAGTGGGGAGGAGCGCGGAGTGGAGAAGGACGATGGGGAGGGAGGGGGAGTGGGGGGGGAGGAAGAGGAGCATGGCGTGCAGGAGAGATTAGAGGTGGCAGCTGATGCCCACGGTGACCGTGCTGGTGCTGGTGGTGGTGATGGTGATGGCGGTGGTGGTGCCAAACGTGGTGGAAAGGAGGAGCAGAGCAGTGCAAAGGTAGAGAGGAAGGGAGCGAGTGGTGAGAAGGTGAAGGTGGGCAGGGGAAAGAGGTTGCAGGCAGGGCCGTACGAAGGGAAGCGAGAGGTGGGGGGGGAAGAATGGGGGGGCAAGAAGAGGCAGCGGATGCATGGAGCAGGCGAAGAGGAGGGAGGCGGTGGCGATGGGCGAGGGGAGGAGAAGGGCGGTGAGGGGAGGGGAGTGGTGGAGCAAGGACATGGAAGAAGGGGAGGCGTGGTGGGTGGAGGGGGGGGAAGAGGCAGAGGAAGGAGGAAGAACTTGGAGAAGGGGCGTGTAAGGGAGCGGGGTGGTGAAGAGCGGCAGGGGGGGCAGCAGACGAGGGTGGGGCAGCAGCGGGACAGGCGGGGGCGGTGGAGGCATGGGGGAAAGCGTGGAGGGATGAAGAAAAGCGGTAGGGCAGGCAGGGAGGGGATGGAGGAGGGAGAGGAAGGTGGCGAAGCCAGGGTGAGTGGCGCGCACGGGAGTGCAGGTGGCGGGAGGGCAGGGGCGGAAGCGAGGCACGTGAAAGCCGCCAGGATGGATGGCGCAGGGCAAAGCAGCACAAGGCGAGGTGGTGGCAGGCGGAGGGAGGGTTCAGCTCTGTCCAGGGGGCGAGAGGGGCAGGTGGGGGCATTGGGTGGGGAGGGGGAAGGGAAGGGGGAGGGGGAGGTGAGCAAGGGTGAGGAGGCAGTGCCACAATTATGGTCCGGTGGTAGCGGGAGTAGTGGGAGGGTGGGCGGGAGAGAGGAGAGGATTGTGCGTGAGGATGGGAGTGAGGGAGACGAGGGGAGTGAGAGTGAGAGTGAGAGCGGGAGTGAGAGTGACAGCTTTTCAAGCCTATTTAGAGAGGAGGAGAGTGAGGAGGAGAGTGGGGGCCAGGGAGGAGGGGAGGACATTGAGGTGGATGGGCCAAACCTGGAGGGGCAGCAGGCAGACGAGGGAGGGGCAGAGGCCAGCCCGTCACACGATGGCAGTGGCGCTGGCTGTGGCGCTGCTGGCTGTGGTGCTGCTGGCAGTGGTGACGGTTATGACGGCATGCAAGCTGAGGGCTGGGGGCATGGCGACAGGGGGAAGGGTGGAGGGCATAGTGCCCCGCACATGGGACGGAGGGGGGGCGCCATGGCCCCACTGGCAGCCAGCCCTTGCCTGTCCACAAGCCCGGGCTTTGCTGCCATGCCCTCGCCGCACCTGACGGCCAGCCCCTACCTGAGCTCCACCACGTACCTCAGGGCCAGCCCGCACCTGCTCATGAGCCCCTACTTGCACGCCAGCCCTGGCCCCGGCGCCAGTCCTGTTGGCAGCACCACGTTTTCTCCCCGGCCTCTGGTTGAAGCGCCCCTGTCCGCCTGTGGGTCTCCTGCTGCTGCAGAGGCGGGAGGGGAGGGCAGGGAGGAGAAGCGGGGGGAGCAGTGGCGTGCGGAGGAGAGGGGTGTGCGGCGCGAGAGGACGCGGCTGGTGAAGGAAATCGGTGGGGGTGCTGTGGCGGACCACACAGCCGCGCCTGAGGTCATAGCTGTGCGTGCTGCTGCTGCTGATTCTGCTGCCGCACCTGCGGGGTCGTCTCCAGGTTCTGAGGAGCCAAGCGGTGGCGTCATGGCTCTTGCTCCTCCTGCTGCTGCTGCTGCTGGTAGCAGTGGCGGCACGGTGGTGAGTGGAGACTTGGGCGGTGGAGGAGGGGTGGGCGGGGAGTCGCGGAGTGGGGCAAAGAGAAAACGAGAGGCAGGCAGGGGGGTGAACGATGCAGCAGAGGGAGGGGAGGAGGGAGAGGGGGATGGGGATGGTGAAGGTGAGGATGGCCGGAGCAAGGTGGTGGGGAGCTTAGGGGGCGAGTTGTGGGGGCTGAAGAGGCAGCGGTCACGGAGAGGAGCGAAGCCGGTGGATGGCAAGCAGGGGCAGGGAGCAGGAGAGGGTGCAGCGGGAGAGGGTGCAGCGGGAGAGGCAGCAGCAGCAGGCAGTTCGGAGATGAGGGTGGCGGACGCGTTGGGCGGGGTGATGCGCGCCATGGAGCAGCCCGCTGGCACCTGATGGCCTGAGGTGTGCACACCGCACCCCCGGCAAGCAGCGCTTGACTCTTGAGCGGCGGTGGCACTTGTCACTTGGCACGGGCATGGCCCTATGCTCTGCACACATGGTGTTGCATGGTCAAAGCAGCCCATCTGCTCGACCACCCGGCATGCCATGCATGCGCGCTGCTCTCCTCGGCTGCGCCTTACCACTGTCACGGCTTCGCTTCACAGCGACCCACCAACAGAAATGCACGCACACACTACGCATGCTGCGTTGGTGCTCCAATTTGTCGATGTTCTTTGTGGGGGCGCTTCAGCACTCATATCACCGATTGATCTGTGCTGCGCTTGCCATAACATGGTGACATGGTAGTCATGTCATGTGCCTTGTTGTCTTGATGTAGTGGTGGTAGGTTGATTATTATGCTGTGAGGACAATGCGAGAATTACTCTGCGCAGACAAGCAATATCAGCAATAGAAATACGACTACGGGCTGCACGCCCGCACACCACAGGAAATCACTACGCAGTGAGCACCCTAAGTCGTCGCTCGTTGCAACATCTGTGTGGCTGGGGCCACGGCTTGCGGCCAACCTCCCAAGGGAGCACCGAGCAGTGCAGGGGGGAGCAGCACATGAGCGCATGGCAGGCCACTGCTGCCGGATGAACCTGCTCAGCCGTTGTATTTTGAGTCGACTCAAAAACATGCGCAGCCGTTGCATGCCGCGCACCCTTGGCGCTGCCCACCCCGCGTCACACCTTGGCAGCAGGAGCCACTCGCACCCACCTCGCCAGCTGCTCCTTGCCCTGCACGCCCTCACCGCACACACGCACACAGGCACACACGCACCCACACACATGCGCATACACACGAACCCACACATGCGCACACACACACACACCCACACACACACACACACACACACACACACGCGCGCGCGCATATGCAATCAGTCAGAGCCTTGCAGAGAGTCCAGCAACGGCAGAGGTTGCAGGTGGCAGCACAGCAGCCGAACCTGTCTGGGCGGCGGGCTGACGGTGGGCAGATCCTCTACCGTGAACCCTAGCGGCTCCAGCACCTCCGCGTAGCTGGGGGGGTCAGGGGCAGACGCAGGGGGGGGGGCGAGTGGGCAGTGGAGGGATGAGGCTGGAACGAGAGGGGAAGGGAGGCAGGAGGAACAAAGATGGGGACTGGATGGGGAAAGCGCGGATGGAGTAGAGCACGCATAGACAGAGTGGCCAGGTGATGGCAGCACGGCACGTGCGAGCAGCCCATGTGGTAGGCGTGTGTGAGCAGCCCATGTGGCAGGCGTGTGCGAGCAGCCCATGTGGCAGGCGTGTGCGAGCAGCCCATGTGGCAGGCGTGTGGGCGCAGCAGGCAGCAGCGGAGCAGAGACACACCTGGCCTTGGACACAGCAAAGGGCGGGCCGCCCTCGTGGCCGTCGATCTGAAGGGTAGAGGATTGGGAGAGGAGTGGGAGGAATGCAGTCGTGTGGAGTGAGGCGGGAGGGGACATGGCAGCGGAAACCGTGCATGCACACTACGGTTGAGGGGAGGAAGAGGGCCGGATGCAGGGATTTGCAGGGAGCCCAACGCTGTGGCAGACAGCATCCGGCTCGAGAAGCGCATGGAGGGCAGCATGGGGGCGAGACAGAGGAGTGGGTTCACGAGCAAGCACGGCAGCCTACCGGGAACATGAGTGTGTAGAGGGCCCCATCTGCTGCGAGCAGCTCCGCTGTCTTGGCCGCCCACTTGGGGCGCAGCGAAGGCGGCAGCGCACAGAAGAAGCTGGGGGCAGTGGGATGGGGGAAGGGACGCCATACTGGGACACGTGCTCCTGGAGCCCGAGAAGAGAGCGGCTGAGCGGGATGAGAGCGATGCTGGGAATGCGACAGAGGCTATTGCGGGCACAATGCACATGCAGCGGTGTGCCAGCAGCAGCAGCAGCAGCAGCGGCAGCAGAAGCAGCGGTGGCGGCGGCAGCGGCAGGGCTGAGGGGCAGAGGGGCAGCGGCTCACGTGTAGTCGAAGATGGCATCGAAGGGCTGGTCGGGCCGGTACTTGAAAAAGTCAGCGCACACAAACGCCATGGCCGCCCTGTTGGCCGCACCTTCCACCCGCTGATGGGGGCGAGGAGGTGGAAGGCGCGAGTGCAAGGGGGGGTGCGTTGGGGGAGCCCCACAGGGTGGGGGGAGTAAGGGTGAGGCGAGGGTGGCGGAAGAGGAGTGCGGGCAAGGATGGGGAACGAGGACGGGAATGAAGGCGAAGTGGCTGCAGTGGTGCTGGCAGGTGCTCAATGCGCTCCCCCGTGTGCATGTGTCCGCGCAATGACTCCTCGCGCCAAGCCTGCCCACCTTCTCTGCGCGCCCACCTTCTCTGCGTGCGCCACGGCAGACGACGAGATGTCCAGCCCTGTGGCCTGCCTGCCATTCGACGCAAACGCCTCCACGTCATACCCCTGCCACGCAATGCCACATCACACCCACGTCAGCGCATGCATTCCATGGCATATCATGGCGTGATGCGCCAGGATCGCGCCAAGCACCATCAGAGAAGCGGTGCACATTGTGAAGCTCACAAGCCGACACCCAGCCCAGCGATCCCGCGCTACAGCCGCGTGAAACCCTCCATGATTCACCCCCTGTGGTGCCCTCTGCTACAGCCTGGCCGTGCAAGGCTTGACTCACGGTGCCACAGCCGGGGACGAGCACGCTGCGGATGGCGGGCGGCAGATGCAGCGGCGACCCCTCCCCTGCTGCCACCATGGCGGCCACCGCCGGCGTCACCCCGCCCAGGTCCCACGGCGTCGTGCTGGCCTGCCACGCCTTGTCCCACCCGCCTGGCATGAGAGCGCAGGGGAGGGATGAGAGTGCGGGGAATGAGGGTGATGGTGGAATGAGGGTGATGGTGGCATGAGCGATCGGGTTGAGAAAGAGGCGAGAGGTGAGGGCGCGCGAAGGGTGCACAGCGGGGAGGTTGGGGCCGGCGGGGCATGGTTTGCGGGGAGGAGGGCGAGGCGGGGGTGAACGGGGCGGAAATCGACGCGGGAATTCCAGCCGCGTTCAGCAGCTGTGGCGCCGGGCCACCCCATGCAGCACCGCTCAGTGTGCCCGGGCGCGCGCATGTGAGGGGCAGCACAGACTGAGCTGGCGACACTATTTCAGGTCTCTGACACGGCGTGCGTCGTGGCGATCATCGCGCAACGCCCGCCGTCCCAGCGGCCGTGCGCTCACCGACGGGATCCTCGGCGAGCAGCTTCCGCACGCAATTCAGCCCGGGAGCGCTCTTAGGCGCGCCAGTCGCGGCGTCAACCGCCCCCTCCGTCGCGGTGGGCGCGTGCTGCGGCATGCTGATGCCGGAAATGGCGGCGCTCGCAGACGAATCGTCGGACTCGGACGAATTCCTGGAGGGATGTGCGGGCGGCGGGGCACAACTGAAGTCCGAATTCTTGCCGGTCAACGCCTTGTAAGACAAGGGATGCTTGCGAGAGGAGTAACCTCTGAATTCGCAAGAAGTGGAGAGTGGGCTTGACGAATGGAAATTCCCCGATAAACAAGATCTGGATGGGGTTAGAAGGCCGGCGGACGCTTGGGTAAAAAAGGCGATGTGAGGACGGAAGCGGCACGAGGTGGCATGGAATAGGGGCATAGCGCTGTGGGATGGATGGCGGGGATGAGAAGAGGAGCTGTAGATGAACGGTCTCGATAGCTTCAACGGTAATCTGCTGCCACGGGAGCTCTGGCAGAAAGAGACATCGCGTCGGAAACCTCTAGAAGCAGGAAATTTCGCACGAACGGTTATCCTTAGCACGAAAGGTCCGCGAGGCATCAGAACCTCGAGAAGCAGGAAATTACGCTGGTGCAGGAGGGTCCCACAGTTGACGGCTGCGGACCCGTTCTGCAGCCACCCGTGACAAGTCATTCATATTTTAGGGCGTGTCCAAAGTGGGATGTCGAGTTTTGTCGATGGATGTCCAAAGAGGTAGGTGAGGGTCTGAAAGAGGGATACGGGTCCAAAGTACCCCCGACATCCAATCTCGAGATCCCCGATGTCGAGGGATGTCGAACCATGACCAACAGTGCGAACGGGCAGAGGTTCAGAAAGTTCATGGTGGGATAGAACCTGGTCGAAACAGACAAGAACCTAGCAACGCGCCAAAAACAAACGAATAACTGCTGTGTTCTGCAGGCACTTGACGTCGACGTCGACGTCGACATTGAGGAAGCTCCTCAAGCGACTTCGAGAGCACTGGTTACCACTCAAACCAGGTGCACTTTCCAAACCTCGCTTGGAAGCAACGCGCCAAATTGTGGAAAGCGCGAGCGAAAGGGGAGAGGAGCCAAATTGAGACTGATGTAACGCCGCACGCAAGGTGGACTCCGCGATTGAGCGAACGTCAGCATTGCGTCAAGTTTGCGCCAGATTTGCCAGGGAGGGAAGCGAGGGGGGTGTTTCCCTGACGTAGATGGCATCTGCGGATGGACCTGTTATGCAGGCATGTAGATGTAACTAGGTTCGGGTACGTTGTGCGAAAATTTGCGGGCTGACCCTCGATCCGAAGCAAAATCTCTCGCTTTCGGAAGGTGCTCTGATGTAATTTGCACTTTCCTTTTTTGTCTGCAGAACGCAGCCAACAAATCTCTCGCAACAGCCACGCCTATTTCGTCTCGAGAACTTGAGGAGATACACGTGTTCTAAGATTCAGGAAAACAAAACTTTTGCGAGGTGCGTGCATGTATCATCCGGCCAAAACGCTGGGCAAAAAGGGCCTGTACACTTGGGGGGTGGGAGCAGCCGAACACTAGTCATTTATTTCGGGCAGCCTGGGTGCGTTCGTTGTGGTGTAACCTAAGGTAACCAGCACGGGAAACTTTTGACCCGCACGAAACGGGTCATGTTACCAGCGCTTCATGTCGAACGAAATCTGGGCCCTCCTATGCAGGCGAGGTAGGCGACGGGAGCGCGGGGCAGTCATTGTTGCAGTTGGGCGAAATCGTAGATGGGTGGGGTTACGGGGTATGGCTTGTGGTTGTTCAGATTGATGTGACTGAACTCATACAGTACCCGCGTGTTTGAAGTTCGTGGAACACCCTAGTGAACTGCGATGGCAAACGTTGACGTTCATTCATTTAAACACTAGTTTCTGTTACAACTATAAAGTCCCATGTTTACGTGGCGAACCAGATTTGTCTATGCCCGCTAGAAAAATTCGCCGTTGTTTTTTATTTCCTGAAATGCATCCCTTAAAAAAACTAACGAAGGGTCTCAGGGAAAAAGAAGAAGTAGAAGAAAAAAAAAAAAAAAAAAAAAGAGGGTGCATGCCGCAACGAGTTTTAGACCCAAGGGTTTAGCGGGAAAATCCAAGGCTAGAAAAAAATTGCCTCGGGTCTTGCGAAAAACTGATGGCTCCAGCCAGTCAGCTATCAAACCGAGCAACTAACAAAGTCGTGCAGTTGAACTTCTACCAATCATGACTTCGTATATTTCTGGTGGACTCAAAAAGTTTGGCCAGCATAATCGCAACCATCCCCTTGCGACAGTTCGCGACTATGCAGCCGCTACACCGTCAAGAAAATTAAACCCGTAGTAGGTTGTGACAACCCGCGGCTCCTTCGGCCGCTAGTCGACCTCGGGTCTGAAAAGACTGCAAGGTTGCTATTTGCGAGGCAGATTGCTGGTTTTGTGCGCAAATTACTCCTTTTACCCAACCTAGTAGGTCTTGTCAAATAGGCGTTTGTCGGCGGATGAGCCCGTTGTGAGGGCGTATTTTTTATGATAGGTTGTCCCATGCTTAGATACAGCTGTTTGAAATTTTGTTGAGGAGCTTCTTTTCGATCGGCTGTTCCAAAAGGAGCATTTTTGCCTATATAGGAATGTGATGCATTTTTTCCGTAGCAAAAAAACCGACACACCAATTGCCCCAATTCGGTAGGCCTCGGCTTGTGCGGAGGTGCAGTGCGAGGATAGCGCAGATCATGCGAGATGGCGTTCATGGAATTGCATGGAAAAAAAACATGAGCTCATATTATGATTCTATTGTCTAAGTAAAGACTCTGTTGTTAATGGCGAAGCTCCTACGAGAGACGAATTTCTACAAGTGACTTCTATTATGAATACGGTCTTCTGTGGAAGTGGTGTGTGCAAATTATGGAGTGGAGAAGACCCTTCGGCCGAGAGGCCACTCGCAGATGAACTGTCGTCTACAGAAATGCTCGCAGAATGCGAGTGCGCATGCGACTTAGCGGCAGAAGTTGAAACTGGACATGCGCTGTAGAAAGGACCTCCAGCTGGCGCGAGGACTCATTGGCACGAACTCTCTGCTGTGGGAGCGCTGCAGAACAGAAAGATTTCGTGGAACTCTTTTCTGTAAGAGCACTGCAGAAAGACTTCGGATTTGGGAACGCTACAGAAAGAGTTGGCAGAACTCTCTTCTGTGAACAGCTCCTCGACAGAAAGGACTTTCTGGCGCTAAGGGACCGTTCCAAAAGTGCGCGAATTTCCGCCCCTTCGGAAGTTTCAAAATGAACCGATCAAGTAGACCGAAAAGGCTACATGCGACGAAGAGAAATTGAACGCAGGCGACGCACATTTCGTAACTGTGAAAATGTGCGTAACTGTCAAACATATATATACCTCATGTTTGTATAGACTGTATAGGGTCACCTCTTAGAGGGTACAACACTCTTAGGTATATACCCTTGTACTCTCATTCTTACCAAAAATTCTTCAGTTCTAAGATGGTATCAGCAGTAGGTAGGTCCCACCGCCCGCCCATGCTTCCGCCCTAGGATCTACCCCCGTGCGTCGCGCCCCCTAGGCCCCGTCGCGTCACCTAGGACCAGTCGTGCCCCCCCCTGGGCCCGTCGCGCCCCCCCTGGGCCTCGTCGCGCCCCCTGGGCCCCGTCACGCCCCCCTAGGCCCCGACACGCCCCCCTGGGCCCCGTCGCGCCCCCTGGGCCCCGTCACGCCCCCCTGGGCCCCGTCACGCCCCCCCTGGGCCCCGTCGCGCCCCCTGGGCCCCGTCACACTCCCTTGGGCCCGTCGCGCCCCCTAGCACCCGTCACGCCCCTCCTGGGCCCCCCGTTGGTGCCTCCTGGCCTGTCGCGCGACTCCTAGCCCGTCGCGCCTTACCTAGCCTGTCGCGCCTTACCTAGCCCGTCGCGCTTCCTAGTCCGTTGCTCCAGCCCCGCGACCGTCCCAGCCGGCCCCGCAACCGTCCCAACCGGCCCGCGACCGTCCCAGCCGACCCGCGACCGTCCCAGCCGGCCCCGCGACCGTCCCAGCCGGCCCCGCGACCGTCCAGCCGGCCCCGCGACCGTCCCAGCCGGCCCCGCGACCGTCCCTGCCGGCCCCGCGACCGTCCCTGCCGGCCCCGCGACCGTCCCAGCCGGCCCGCGACCGTCCCAGCCGGCCCCGCGACCGTCCCTGCCGGCCCGCGACCGTCCCAGCCGGCCCCGTGCCCCGTCTCCGCCGGCCCCGTGCCCTGTCCCGGCCGCCCCAGCACCTGTCTCAGCCGGCCCGTGCCCGTCCAGGCCGCCCCTGCACCCATCCCAGCCGGCCCGCGCCTGTCCCAGCCGGCCCGCACCCGTTCCTGCCGGTCCCGCGCCCGTTCCAGCCGGCTCCCGCGCTCGTCCGGCCGGCCCCGCGTCGACTTCCGGCCCTTCCTTGCCGGCCCTCCGACCGTCCGTTCTGCACTCTCCCTGGTACGGTTCTCCACCCCCCCCCCCTGCACCGCACTGTACCGCACTGCACCGCGCTGCACCGCACTGTACCGCACTGCACCGCACTGTACCGCACTGCATCGCACTGCACCGCACTGCATCGCACTGCACCGCACTGCACTGCACTGCACCGCCCTGCACTGCACTGTTCCTGATGGCGGCGGAGCTTCGCTTTGACGCTGACGGCCAGCCTCTTGAGTTCGAGGCGTGGCTTGTGGACCTCCGACGCCACCTCACTGGACTGCGGCAGGATGGTCACTCGCTTTCGGCACACCTTGACGGTAAGCTTCCCTGCCCAGACCCTCCTGCTGTGCTGCCCGTTGACCCCACCTCCGCTGAGCGCGAGTCTGCTGCCGCTGCTGCCCTTGCTCGCTCTATCTGGCTTTCCCGAGACGCTGTCGCGCAGCTTGCCATTAGCAATGCCCTACCCCTGTCTGAGCGTCCCCGCTTTAGGTCTATCACTACCGCTCAGGCCTTCTTAGATGCTGTCATCAACCGCTATTCCACCCCGCCTGCTGCATCCGTGGGTAGCCTGATCCTCCCTATGCTCTTTCCAGACCTTGCGTCTTTCCCCACTGTCGCAGACCTAGCTGCCCACCTGCGCACTATAGACGAGACATGGCGTGCTGCTGCACTGCCGCACAGCTTAGCGCCCACCAGCCGCCCATGACCTCTACCCTCTACCTGCTTGCCACCCGTCTCCCTGACCGCCTTGCTGCCGCTCGCGACCAGTTCCTTAGCATTCACCCTGGTGAACTCACCCTCACATACTTTGTAGACACACTGACTGTGATTGAGGCCCGCCACCGCTCCATCGCCGAGGCGAGCGGCACTGTGCCGGTCCCTATCTTTCAGGGTTGTGCCCCCACTCAGTGCACCTTCTCCGATGGTTCTGCCGCTGTGGCTGAGACCGCTGCTGCAGCGCAGTTCCGTTCGGGGAAGGGCCGCCGCCCAAGGCTGAGCGCGGCGGAGGAGGAGGGGGTGCAGGTGGGGGTGGTGGTGGAGGCGGGTCGTCTGGTGCTGGAGCGGACGAGGTGACCCCGCCCACTCCAGCTGAGCAGTTGCCTCCGCCGTCGCAGCAGCCGCAGCCGCCGCCGCAGCCACAGCAGCCGCACCAGTCGCAGCAGGCGAGGCAGGCGAGTTCCCTCCCGCCCGGGTGGCCTGGAGCTGGTGGTGGCCGTGCGCGCGGTGGTGTGCCGGGTGGTGGTTCTGGAGGTGTGCGCTGTCAGTACCAGATCCAGACCGGTCCTCGCCGCGGCTTCGTTTGCGGTAAGATCGGTCACTCCACTCCTCGCTGTTTTCGTCGCCTGGACGACCTGTTCCGCCAGCGCTTCGGCCCGTCGCCCGACCTCCCGGACTGGCACAGTTTGCTTAGACATAGGGTTCAGATCTTTGACTTGGACATGGATGCCATTGTAGCTGCCCTGCATGTGATGTATGCTGATGACTCTAGTATGCTTCCCTCTTATTACCCCTTGTTGCCTAGTGTAGGTGTGCCTAGCTTAGACTCCCCTGCTGCGTCAGGCGTAGGATCTCCTACCTTGTTTAGCCTCGGTGCTTTCTGCCGTCGCCCCGTCGCCGGACGCCACTGCTTCGCTTTCCTTCACCTTGGACTCTGGCGCTTCCCGGTGCTTCTTCCGCGACTCCACTACGCTGACGCCGCTTCCTGCTCCTGCTGCCGTTTCTCTTGCTGACCCCTCTGGCGGTCCAGTAGTCGCCCGCAGTTCCACCACCCTTCCCTGTCCGGCGGTTCCTTCGGGCTCTCTCACAGGTCTGCATATCCCCTCGTTCTCCAGGAACCTAGTTGGTGTCGGCTGCCTCCAGGACCTTGGCGTCACCACTACGTTCCCTGGTCACGAGCGGTATGCTTTCTATACCGAGGCCGCCACTGGTACCCCCCTTACCACGTTCCCCGGGACCCGCTGTCCGGCCTGTTCACACTGGACACCGTGACCTCCCCGGCTGGGGCGTCCCCCCAGGTGGCTGTGTCTACCCAGGTTGCTGCTGCCTGCTCTTGTCGGTCCCTCACCCACCCGACTCTCTTGTGGCACCACCGCCTAGGTCACCCTGCACTCCCGCGTCTGCGTCACATGTCCCAGCACGGTCTCGTCCTTGGTCTTCCTGGTTCGTTCCCTGAGTTTCCCTCCTCCCCCGCCACAACGTGCACACCTTGCGTCGAGGGCCGGCTTCGCCGTGCCCCTCACTCCTCCTCGTTTCCCCCTACCGCCGCGCCGTTGCAGACCCTGCACATGGACGTCTGGGGCCCTGCCCTGTCCATGGGCCGCGTCGAGAGCGCTACTTCCTCGTGCTTGTCGACGACTTCACTCGCTACACCACAGTCTTTCCCCTGGAGCAAAATGCTGACGTGCCTGACGCCCTCATCCCTTGGCTTGTCTCTGCCCGTGTCCACCGCGGTCTCCCTGTCTTGCGTCTTCACTTCGACCGTGGTGGCGAGTTCGCCGCAGGTGTCCTTGGTCGCTTCTGCCGTACGGAGGGCATCACCCTGATGTTCACCCTGCCGGACTCCCCACAGCAGAATGGGGTCGCTGAGCACCGCATCGGTTTGGTCATGGAAGTGGCTCGCACCTCCATGATCCATGCCGATGCACCCATTTTCTGTGGCCGTTCGCTGTGCGCTACCGCTACGCACCCCCAGCGGCCGCAGGTTTTGCCTACCCGTCTTTGGACCGGGTCTCCTGGTGACGCGTCTGCGTTCCACGTCTGGGGCTGCCTGGCTCACGTTCGTGCCTCCGGCACGGACAAGCTCACTGCCCGCACCCTTCCTTGCGTCTTCCTTGTTTTCCTCTTGACGCGTCCGATTGGCACTTCTACCACCCGCCGTCTCACCGCTTCTTTCACTCTCGCGACGTCACCTTTGACGAGTCCGTCTCCTTCTACCGTCGTTTCCCCACCGCGGTCCCTCGTTATCCCCCCTTGTTCCTGGTCTCTCCTTCCCAGGTGGTCCCTGCCCTCCTCCTCCTCCTCCCCGTCCTGCCCCCTCTGGTGTGTCCCACGTCACCCCTCTTCCATCGGTTGTCCCAGTTGAGGAGTCTTCTGACTCTGGTGGTCCTGCGGCGCAGTCCTCGCCGTCTGCCCCTCCCCAGGTGTCTCCGCCTCCACCGCCTCTGCCGCCGTCGTCACCTCTGCTGTCCCCGCTTCGTCCCTCCCACCGCACCCGTCGTTGCCGCTGCCGCCCGCCGCGTCGCAGCAGCCGTTCGTTGACTCTGGGGGTGCTGGCGTTGGAGTGGGTGCTAGTCCCGGTGCCCTGGTGGTGGTGCCGGTGCTCGAGGGTTTCGGCCCTGGGGTGTCCCTTCTGGGGGTGCAGGAGTGGAGTGTGCCGAGGGTCGAGGAGCAGCTTGCGGTCCTGGTGTCGGTGTTGGTCCGCCGCAGCAGCAGTCCCCCCGGTGTCAGCCCTTCGCCTGCTCGGCCTTCCGTCCCCTGACCCGCGCCGTCCTCTCCTCCGTCTCCTCCTCTCCCGCTACGGCCCTGTGTTTCCTCCGCCGGACTCGTCCCCGGCTCGTTTCCCCCTCGCTCCCCCCTGTGTCCCCTCCTCTGTCTCCTGACCCGACTCCTCCGTCTCACGTCTGGTCTCGCCGTCCCTCTCGTGCTCGTCCTCTCACCCTATGTTGCTTCGTTATCACGTATCTCGTCCTCCCTTCTCCCGTCGCCTCCTCCGTCCTCCCTTGTCGTTGCTCCCCCCCTCTGTCTGACTACCTTCGTGCCGCCCGTCCTGTTGTTCCTCGGGTCCTTGCCTCTCTCGTTACCGACCCGTCTGTTCCGGTTCGAGCCTTGACGCCCTTGTCGCTGCGGTCGCTGACTTCGCCTCTACCCGCCGCCTGACTACGCCACCCGCTCTGGTCTCTGACCCTGCCTGTCCTCCGTCTGTCGGGGTGCTCCTGCCCTGGCAGTGACGTCCTGGAGGACCGCCAGTTCGAGCTTGCTTTCCTGTCAGAGGCTGCTCCCCATCTCTGTTCCATGCTGCTAGTCCCTGAGGGTGACCCAGACGCTTTCGACATCCCGACCCCTCGCACTTACGCTGAGGCCACCTCGGGACCCTGGGCCTCCCAGTGGATAGCTGCCATGGAGCAGGAGATGGCATCTTGGAGATCCACCGGCACCTTCGTCGACGCAGTTCCCCCGCCTGGGGTGAACGTAGTCGATGGCCGCTGGCTCTTCAAGGTGAAGCGCCCTCCTGGAGAGCCGCCTGTTTCAAGGCGCGATACGTGGCTAGAGGTTTCAGTTAGCGTGAGGGGGTGGACTTCTTCCATACCTTCGCTCCGACCCCGAAGATGACTACTCTTCGGGTCTGCTATACTTAGCAGCACAGCGTGACTACGAGCTTCACTCCTTGACTTCTCCACTGCCTTCTTCAGGGCAGCCTACACGAGCAGGTCTACCTGCGTCGCCCTCAGGGCTTCACTGGCACCTTCCTCCTGGGACCCAGTGGCTCCTGCGTCGTCCGTCTACGGCCTGCGCAGGCTCCCCGTGAGTGGCACGACACGCTGCGTGCTACCCTTGCTGATCCTGCAGTTCTTTCCGTCCTCTGCAGACCCTCACTCTTCGTTCGTGCTGGCCAGACTCCGTTCTACATCCTTGTCTACGTAGATGACCTGGTCTTTGCCACAGCAGACAGGGACGCACTGGCCTCCGTGAAGGCAGAGCTGCTGAAGAGACACACCTGCACTGACCTTGGAGAACTGCGCGTTACCTTGGCTGCAGATCTCCAGGGACAGAGCAGCGCGCACCATCACCTTGACTCATCACACTTGGTGCGCCAGTCCTTCAGAGGTTTGGCCTTCAGATCTCCTCTGCACAGCCAACCCCTCTGCCGCTAGCCACAGACTCTCCGCTCCAAATCCGAGGAGTCGGTAGAGCCCAGTGGTCCTTACGCTGAGCTGGCGGGTTGCCTCATGTACCTGATGACTTGCAGTCGCCCAGATCTCGCATACCCTCTCAGCATCCTGGCTCGCTTTGTGGCCACAGGCAGACACCGACCGCAGCACTGGTCTGCCGCTAAGAGGGTTTTGCGTTATCTTGCAAGTACATCGGGCATGGGGTTAGTGCTAGGAGGACGCAGGCCAGCGGTCCTTGCTGGACACACAGACGCTTCTTGGGCAGACGACGCCGAGACTCTCAGGTCTTCCCAGGGCTACTGCTTTAGCCTTGGTTCAGGTGTCGTCTCGTGGAGAGCTACCCGCTCCTTGTCTGTTGCCCAGTCCAGCTGTGAGGCCGAGATCTACGCTGGTCCATGGCGGCACAGGAGCTCCGCCGGCTGACCTTCTTGCTCACTGACTTAGGTGAGCGGCCTAGCTCTGCACCGGTCCTGTATGCTGACAACAGGGCCATGATCCTCCTGTGTCAGGAGCCTCGACTTGAGGGCAGAGCGAAGCATATTCAGCTGCGGTACTTCCTCCTGCGCGAGCTACAGCAGCGCTGCCAGGCTCGCGTAGTACACTTGGCCTCCGGTGCCAATACAGCTGATATCTTTACGAAGGCGCTTGCGCCTAAAGATCATCAGCGGCACTGTGTACAGCCGGTCTAGTTCCTGTAGCCTCTCACTTGCTTGGACCTTGACTTTGTACTGTCCTATTATATATCTATCTCTGTGCTCGGATTGGACTTGTGCCTCCCTCAGTGGTGGACTAGTAGTGCCGCCCTGTTTTGTTCTTGCCTTGTTGTATTCTTTTTACTGGTCTTTAGACCCCTGTCTCAGTGGCTGGACTATTAGTGCCGCCCTGAGCTGTTTGTTCAGACCTGCCCCTATGCAGTCTGGGGGGTGTGTCAAACATATATATATACCTCATATTTGTATAGACTGTATAGGGTTACCTCTTAGAGGGTACAACACTCTTAGGTATATACCCTTGTACTATCATTCTTACTAATAAATTTATCAGTTCTAAGAGTTATGTCAACGTATAGCAGTGTTCAATGAGGTAGTATTGTTGTGGTAAAATGAAGTTTTGCATTCCTGCAAGTTATGTTTTCAGTGTAGCTAGCGGTATCGAGTTTCTCAGTAAGTAATCATGCCCGAGTGCTGATGTCAGCAAAGCATCGCGGGTCTCGGGATGACGTCAGCATACCGCTTTTGTTACACGATAAGGCGTATCGAACCGCTTCAGTTGCACGAACAGTCGCGACCTTATAGAATGACAAATAGGTCGCATAGCACGCAATTAGCCGAACAGGTACTTTCCCTAGAGTTATAAATCCTTGTAATGCCTTTATATTATTAACCTTGACTTTCCACAGAATTATGTGCTGATGTTATTCAACCTTCGACTACCCATAAGTTCATGTGCTCAGGTTCACTCCTATAAGACTTCCGCTGTCTTACTAGTCTACCATTCCAGCAAAGATCCTTGGTTAAGTACTCGTGGTTGCAGATTCTGCACTTAGTGTCATGCACCACCTGTCAAAATTTTACAGTATTAGCGTTTGCCTTGTGTACCATAATTTGTTGATTCTAGTAAATTTTGTGTGAATGCAAGCTTTGTCGATGTAAGGAAAAATCATTTTCCTTACTGGGCTCAACTACAGCGCGTACGCCCTCGGCCCTCGGAAGACCAGGCCCGGCCTTTTTCCTCGGTCCCGAACCCTTTCGTAAACCCAAACCTAATGCGCGGCGCTTCCGTGGCTTTCGCCTACCGAGTCGCCCCAACCTGTTTGCGAGGTTCTCGGCTAGCCCTGTTGTGCCTATAAATGCCTAGGTCCTCATTTGTATTGACGACCCTTGAATCACGACTCCTTTATTACACTACCTGTTATTACTCTGATTAATTCATAACAGCTGGTATCAGAGCCTCGTTCCTGCCCGCTTAGTCTTCCGTAGAGTAGTCCGTTTATATCGGGAGAGGACCCGACAGAATAGGGGGTTGGCCAGCGGTTGGTAGGCGAGCTCGTTAAAGCTCCTCCAACTAAAAGCGTGTGCACCCTCAGATCTGTCAGGTAAAATTTCCAGCATGACTAGCACGCCGGAAACCTCTCCCCGTCGTAGTGTTAGGAACGTGACTCAGGAGGAGTTTGACGAGTTGCAAGCCAGGGCGGCTACAGTGACGATGCTGCAGGCCCAGCTTCAACAACTCGCGGACAAGTTCGAGTCGCTGGGAAGCGAAGTTCAGACGCTGCGTAATGAAAACTCGTCACTTCGCCAGACGCGGGGTGAAACGCGTCAGGAGCGGCCTGTTACCCGAGACGAGGATGCTGCGAGCGAAGCGAAGGCGTCGGCGACACCTGAAGCAGTTGAAGAAATCCACAGCGAACCGCGGGCGGCCATTAAAATCAAACCTCCCATGCCCCCACCGTTCAACCCGACAGACAAGACGACCACTGTGAGCGGGTGGCTGTTCGCCATGGAAGTTTTCTTCACGCAGCAAGTATTAATGACAACACCTCACGTGTCAATTGGCTGTATCACTGCTGAGGGGACCGGCACTCGACTGGTGGCGCATGCATTTTGACGAGGGGGGAGCTCCGGCAGGGAATCAACGGGCGGCAGCTGGGGAGATGAGTTCATCAACGGCAACGGGAGAACCAATCTTTGGTTCGACCACGATCCGCACTGGAAAGCGTGGGGCAAAGCGTTGAAAAGCATATTCGAGCACATATCCATGCGCGAAAATGCTCGCACAAAGCTTCGGATGTGGAGACAGTTGGGCCCTGTTCAATAATACACGGCGTCGTTTCTAGAAATCTGCGACCAAATCGGAGGGATCAGCGAGGACGAGAAGATTGATCGCTACATGGGCGGACTCAAACCGGAGATTCAACAAGAAATCGTCCTGCGAGCCCCGACGACCTTCAACGAAATTGTTCGCATGGCGGATGCGCTGGACGCGCGACGTGGACTCGCGAGAGCGGGTTTCCGGGAGGGAAATCGCTTTCGAGGCCAGCCCCAACACACATCAATCAACGGCGTGGACGTGTTTGCAGCCCGAGTATTTTCGGGGACCTGCTTCCACTGCAACCAGCCGGGTCACATGGTGCGAGACTGCCCGCAGCTGAAAAAGAACTTACCTAACGACAAGAAGCAGTCGGGAAATGGCGATCGTCAGTAGCAGATGGGCCACCTACTGACTTGACTGCGTCGCCCAAACGCCACCACCCCCACCAGGTTATAGTGTCGATTTGGGCTATCGACCATTCCTGGCTGAATAAGGGGGGTGAACCGGTTGACCACCCTGTGCTGGTTGAAGGGAGAGTTGGTGATACCCGCATAAAAATATTTGTTGATGGCGGGGCAAGCCACAGTTTAATGGATGTGACGAAAGCGAAAAAATTGCGACTGCAACTGGAGCGGTGTCTACCCGAAATCGACGCGCGATTGGTCGATGGCACACCCCTGGCCATACGGGAGCGAGTGCCTCACGTACGAGTCACCTGCGGCGAAAATTTCAGCTTCACGACGAAGATGCTGGCGACCACGCTGGACGGCTGCGACATGCTGCTGGGACGCGATTGGCTGCGCGAATACAATCCGAGCATCGATTGGCGGACAGGTGACTGTCGCATCAAATGGAGTGGCGAGTGGCGACGACTTCCGAAGTGGAACAATCCAGATTCTGCGACAGTCAGCGCGGTTACCATCAAGCGCGCGATGATTCGTGGGGCGCAGCTATACGCCGTTCGATGGATCGCATCCACGGCCGTCGACGCACCAGCCGACATCGACAAACTCTGCGCGGCAGTCCCGACGAGTTGGCGACTTTGATTCGCAAGCACGCCGACATCTTCTGGACGACCTACCGCTAGGATTACCACCAGAGCGAGACCACGACCATACCATCCAATTGGAGCCCGGCGCGCAACCGACGGTTCGGACACAGTGGCGGCTGAATCAACCAGAGCTGGAGGAACTTCGACGCCAGCTGGATTATCTGCTCGAGAAGGGTTTCGTTCGCCCCAGTACTTCCCCGTTCGCAGCTCCGATCCTATTCACCCCGAAGAAAGATGGCGTCTACGAATGTGCATCGACTACCGCGCCTTGAACCGGGTTACAATAAAGTCTCGCTATCCTATTCCGCGCGCCGACGAACTCATCGACCAACTTCGTGGGGCAAAGTTCTTTTTCGAAAATTGACCTGCGAGGCGGTTACCACCAGATCCGTGTCAACGAAGCTGACTGCTACAAGACGGCGTTCCGAACCCGATACGGGAGTTACGAGTACACGGTCATGCCTTTTGGCTTAACCAACGCACCTTCAACATTCCAGTTAACCATGAACGAAGTTTTTCGGCCGCTGCTGGATAAATGCGTCATTGTGTACCTCGACGACATCCTGATCTACAGCACTACCCGGGAACAGCATTTGAAGGATTTGGAAGCAGTCTTCTCTCTTCTGCAGCAGCATCGACTCATCACCAAGGGTTCTAAGTGCGAGTTTCTGAAACAAGAACTGGAGTTTTTGGGCCACGTTATCTCCATCAACGGTGTTAAAATCGACCCGAAAAAAATCGCGACCATCCAAGACTGGAAGCCGCCGGCTAATCTTCGCGAACTTCAAAGTTTCCTGGGGTTTGTGAATTACGTTCGACGGTTCATCCCAAACATGGCGGAGGTAACTTCCCCTCTCACGGATCTTCTGAAAAAAGGCAAGTTTTATGAGTGGGGGGGAGAGCAGCAGGCTGCGTTCGACCAACTCAAACTTTTCCTGACAACACCTCCGGTCCTTCGCATTGCAGATCCTCACCGTCCGTTCGAACTCATCACCGACGCTAGCGACCTGGCTGTGGGCGCCGTACTGTTACAGGACTTCGGCGAAGGCCTTCAACCCATCGCCTACGAGTCACGAAAGCTGAATCCGGCCGAGCGAAATTATCCCGTCCACGACAAGGAGTTACTCGCCGGTTCATCCGCGCCCAACCGACACTCAACCCACGACATATTCGCTGGCTCGATTATCTCGAGTCGAATTTCCACTACAGAGTTACCTACAAACGAGGGCCAGCAACATCGCCGACGCACTGACCCGCCCTTCAGTCCGTACCGCCGCTGTCCTAATCACCCAAACCAATCCGCTGCTATCTGGACTATTTACCCACGGATACAGTACCGACCCATTCTTCACGACTAACAGTCATCCCCAACTGACAGTCAAGCAGGGGCTTATTAACTAAAATCCGGTACCAATCGGATTTGGGTTCCCGCGTACCGTACCCTACGCGAGCTACTGATACAGGAGGCACACGACTCGAATTTCTCGGGTCACTACGGCATCGACAAAACTGCCAAATTACTGAGCCGCAATTATTACTGGCCCGATTTATCGACGGACGTGCAGCAGTACGTCACCTCCTGCGCCACGTGTCAACGCATGAAGTCGTCACGACTTCGACGTGCGGGATTACTGCAGCCGCTCGAGCCACCCAGCCGACCCTGGCAACAAGTGACGATGGATTTCGTCACTAGCCTGCCAGCTGGTCCAAGCGGTAATGACGCGATTCTCGTCGTCGTTGACCGTTTGACCAAAATGGCACACTTCGCCGCCTGCAAGACGACAATCACTGCCGAGCAGACAGCAAAGCTATTTCTCACGAACATCGTGCGACTACACGGCATCCCTTCGGCCATCATCAGCGATCGCGACACTCGGTTCACGTCCAATTTCTGGACAAAAACCTGGCAGCAGTACGGCACACGTCTGCATCTGTCCACGGCATACCACCCGCAATCGGACGGCCAGACTGAGCGCACCAATCAGACGATGGAACAGCTGCTTCATACAACGTGCACAGACCCGTCCCAATAGGAAGATTCTCTTCCACTGATCGAGTTTGCGTACAACAACGCCCCATCAGCCACGACTACTCAGTCCCCGTTCTTCCTAAATTACGGGATAGACCCGACAACCCCTCTATCGCCACCGATAGAAAATCCGGCACCAAGGTCGCAGCAGTTCGTCGACAATCTCCGGCAGTCTCAGCAAAAAGCCGCCGACGCTATACTCAAAGCCAACCAACGGGCTAAGCAGCAAGCTGACCGACGACGCCGTGACTTAACTCTTGCCCCTGGGCAATTGGTCCTGCTCGACACTCGAAATTTGGGGATTCCCCTCCCAAATAAACTACGACCAAGATTCTGCGGCCCATTCCGCATCATCCGCATGGTGACACCAGTCACCGCCCAACTGCAACTACCGAGCGACTGGCGAATCCACGATTCATTCCACGTCAGTCTCCTGCGACCGTTCGTCCCGAATACAACTGATCTCGACCGTAAACATATCAATCCTACGGTCAACCCAGTACCCGAGCCGACGATCGAGCCATCGAAAATCCTCGCTCATCGCGTACGAGGTTCTCGCGACACAGCAGCCGTTGATTTCCTTGTACGATGGGTCGATCGCACGACTGATGACGACCTCTGGGTCCCCGCAGCTATGCTCGATGAACACAAGGTTGTCAGGGACTATTTACACCGACGACGTGTCCCGGATGTGGGTAGTCTCATCTCCGAAGGGGGGGTGGTGTAAGGAAAATTCCTTTTCCTTACTGGGCTCAACTACAGCGCGTACGCCCTCGGCCCTCGGAAGACCAGGCCCGGCCTTTTTCCTCGGTCCCGAACCATTTCGTAAACCCAAACCTAATGCGCGGCGCTTCCGTGGCTTTCGCCTACCGAGTCGCCCCAACCTGTTTGCGAGGTTCTCGGCTAGCCCTGTTGTGCCTATAAATGCCTAGGTCCTCATTTGTATTGACGACCCTTGAATCACGACTCCTTTATTACACCACCTGTTATTACTCTGATTAATTCATAACAGTCGAGCTGGGATGTTGAACGCACTGGAGGCAGACTTCTCTGCAGAGCTAGAGTAGCTCTGTGTAAGGCACTTCTGCAGAAGCTCCCGTTATAGCAGATTACTCTGCACATTAAAACACTCTTCGGCTTAAAGAAGGTCCACCGAACAGGGCCCTTATCAAATCGATGCCTACAGAATGGGGCCTGTGTGCGAGCTCTGCCAAATTCTCATGGAGTGAAACCTTCGCGAGATGGCACAGCATTTTGCGACCAACAACGAAATGGGGAAACGGGGGCAAGAAAGGGACTCCGTCCGAATGATGATCGGCAACGACCTTTGGATTTCTAGTTGACCGACGTTCAAAACGTGAGATTCCGGCTTTTTGTGCTGTTGTCCAGGTAAGTATCGGAACATGGACTTCCACTGGCTCGAGCCTTCGTGATCTTGGGAATGCTATCTGCTGTCCCAGAAACGGTCAGGGTGATACTAAAAACGTCGCACGGCCAAATATGTTTTAACATTAGCGCACGCCAGGTGTACAGCGCTGGGCCGACGAAACTTACAGCGAAAGGGACTGAAGAAGGGACGACGAAAGAGACAATGACGTAATTGAGTGCAGCGCTGGGCCACGTGCAGAAAGGCCAAATAGTTGTGGCCAGGCCTCTTGATAATAGGTATTTTTTCTAAATGTCAAGAAATTCAGAGTAACGTTTCATATGATTCCGTTTTTTTCAGTGCGAATTGTTTCCGAATCCGTCCAACTTACGGAATCGATTTCGCGCGATTCCTTAGCCTATGAGTCCTTTCTTCGAATCCGTACGGGCTATACTTGTAGCATGGAAATCTGTAGGGGGTAGCGACCGCCCACCCCCACTACCCCCCTACTACCCCACCCCCACCCCTCCATCCTCCCGCGCCCAACCCCGTCTTTGATCACTTGCTAGCCGAAGTTGTAGCCGGTTTTTCTGGGAAAAATTCCGTCTGTTAACGGGTGATCCTGAGGCGATTCCGTCCCCTTCCGGAATACCCTGGGGCTTAGCGAGAGGCCTGGTTGTGGCCTTCTTTCTTTCCCATCGGTACTGTACTGTAAAGTTGGGAAGCGGGCAATGCAAAACCCGAGAAGTTGAAGCATCGAATGATGTTCTGTACGGCTCTGGAGTTTTGTGTTGCCCTCCTCGGTTCTTTGTGGGAATGGAATGGATTTCTACAGATGGTGTGTCCAGTGTACACTCTCTTTTTTAACTGCCCGGCCATCATATCGAGCCCTCCAATGTTCTGGGAAACATGCTTCAGTGAAATTGCGCAATCTCCAGTCGCAGCCAATCAAGCTTGGTTGTTTGGTCTGGGGCCACTCAGCGAAGAGCAGCCGACTGGGATCCATCGGATCTCACCTGACCAAGTCGACACTCGTCCGTTGATTTTCTGAGACTCCGACACAAGTCACAATTTTGACCGTGCTCAGAGCCAATGAACGGTGGCAGGCATGCTCCCGATATTACACTATCAGCATTAGTCATGACTCATGAATGCAATGCAGCTGCCCCAACCAGTCGTACGCTGGGTGTACACCAGCCACTCACATGGGGCTTTCCAATGTCCCGCTGGCATATCCTAGGGACCCCCATGAGAGACGGGCTGCCCGCAATCATTACTCTTTTGCCCAGGAACACTAAATTGAACACGTCATCCGAACCGCACCACAAAATCAACCTGAACCCTCATCGAAATTGCGATTCGGCTGCCCTGCCCTGCCCTCCTTCATGCATTCACATGTTTGGGTTTTTTGCTTGTTCAGTTACTTGTACTAGGGATCCACGCACAGTAGTGAGGGTTTTGTCGCTTTTGGAGCCACGAGGAAAGAATTTGCGTTCATTTAGGTTACGTTTTGTATCATTCAACCACGTTTCACAATTTCATTGGTTGCACACTGTACAACGGCAATTTCGCTGCTCTCAGCATTTGTTCCCAAAAATCTCCGTCAACTACAGTGCACGTTGCTGTACGAACCTGGAAACAGAATGAGCCTCGGGTGCCGTCACATTCTGACGGCAAAATTAACAGCGAACTTAATTTCATGACAACAATACTCAATATGGGATTGTGGATTAGTGCGACGGGATTGGGCACTTACATTCCATTTCGATATTTCATAATAATCTCTTCGGTACAATTGTATTTTCAACTCATGATTTTTTACCATATAAGTCTAAGATATTCATGCAATTATCGATCTTTCAAGAAAAGTTTCAATACATGGCCTAATATTTTCAAAAGGACTTCGCATGTTGCAAAATGTTTTACAAAACAGACCATACTAGACATCCAAGCTGACGTTAATCTGCAAAGTCCTTCTGAAAATATTCGGCAATTAATGGAAATTGTTTTCTAAAATATATATTTAATATATGAAGATCATGGAACTGCATAGTAAAAAAATAGCAAAATTATTGTTATAATGATATCGATATGAAATGTAAGTGAACAATCTCGTCGCAGTAGTCCGCAATCCCATATTGAGTATTGTCGTCATATTTTAATCCGTCTGGAAAGAATTCGCTGTTAATTTTGCCGTCAGAAAGTGACGGCACCCGAGGCTCATTCTGTTTCCAGGCTCGTTCCAGCGACGTGCACTGTAGTTGACGGAGATTTTCGGGAACAGCAGCGAGATGACGATATACAGTGTGCAACCAATGAAATTGTGGGACGTGCTCTATTGATAGAAAAGGTAACCTAAATGAATACAAATTATTTCCTTGCTGCTCAGAAAGCGACAAAATCCTCCTCTTTGTTCTCTGAACGTTTCTGCTGTGCTCGGATCGCTAGTAGCAGTAACCGAACAACTAAAACCCCTTCATGTTTCTCAGCTCGACTCACTTGAATCTCTCTCACGCCACAGGCTCACACACCCTGTTCAGCTTTGGCTTGCATTGGCGTGCAGCAGAAAGAAGCACTCGTGTGACATAGCAGCGGCCAAAACGGCACGAAGCGAATCATGTCCACGATGCAACTGGACTTCGCAAGTCTAGATATATCTATCGATCGCTCTCCCGGGACTTGGGCTTACGCTGATGCTGCCAAGCAAGGCACTTGACGTGAGTTCAGATTTGACGCTCGACTCGGGAGACACAGTCGGTTCAGCATAATATGTCAGATGAATTTCCTTGACCAGTAGTTTAGCATTCGTTCTGGAGTCTAATATAGACATTGTATGCAGAAGCAATGAGAACCAGTCGTCGTAGAAGCCTGGAGGCCGAGTCCGCGTGAGGCGCATGGATGAAGCCGTGGCATCGCGACAGCGACGGGCCCGCGCGACTGGAAGTGACGAAGCGAATCATCGAGTAAGGGCCGAGTGGATCCAGTAAGCCTGCGATCCACGAGTCATTCCGTGTGAGCTTCTCCGACTCCAAGGATCATCCCGTGAGCCGTCACTACAACGGTTGTAGTGAACGTTTTTTCGTGTGCGCGTGGCAGGCACGCGGCGGCGATTCATGAGGGCACGACAGTGAGCAGCGCGGTGTGGCAGGCGGCGCTGCCCAGCGTAGTGGTGCGGCTGGAGGACACGCTCTACTGCCACGCCTCGTCGCTCGTACGTGCGCCTTGGCTAAGGCATAAGCGACTGCTAGTCTCACCTCAAAAGGCAAACCACGCGAAAACTTCTGAGGCTCTGCCCCTTTGCGTGCTTTGCGCGCGTCGTGTTGTGTGCGTTCAAGCGCCCTCCTCCCGGCATGTCGTGCTCGTAGCCCCGGTGCTTATGTCCGACGCGCGGTTCTCGCAGGCGGAGTATTCGGAGCGCCGCACGCTAGCGGCGCGGTTGAAGGCGGCGCTGGAGGTGGTGATCGGCCGCACGGAGGACGACGACCGCTGCTACCTCGCGCACGGCCGCTGGGGCCCCGCGCCCGCCTCCGCTGCGCGGGGAGGCGCCGCACCTCCAGCGCCGCCCCCGAAAGTGCCTCCCGCGGAGCAAGGCGAACGGCGTCTCCTCCTTCCGTGCATCGAAGGTACTTACTGCGCCTCCGCGGCCTTTTCGAAACAGCCGCCTGTG